ATCTACTGCCAGGTGTCTGAGGCAAGGAGGGACCCTGTGAAGTGGAAAGACTAAGACCCAGTACAAATTAGCTATCAAATGACTGCAGTAATTGCTTACTGCTATTGAACTGAAGCAGGATCTCTGCGTGCTCCCCTCAGCCACACCTGGGGGGGGACACAGAGGACAGCTGCGCTCCAGAGTCCCCTACTCATCATAATTTGGAAAAGAAAACTGACTGCCATCTCCCATCTGTTTTGGAGTTTATCTGTGTGCCTGAGTCTTAGTCTAGTTGACAGCTGCCTTGTGCCTTGAACCTCTACCCCAATCTTGCATTGGGAATGAGAGCAGGCAGCCTTTCAGCTCTCCAGAACAAAGATCAGCAGGAGAAAGTGTCACAAGATCCCCTAGTTTCCTTCAGGGGCCCTGCTTCAGACCTGGTTTTATGGCTGGTTTTGGGTTTCTCTTTCCAAAATCCCTGAGCTGTAATCCTCAGCCTGACACAGGGCCTGAGGCCCTGTCACGAGAGCAGGAGGCCAATGTGAAGGACGTTTGCTGCAGCACTGGGGGGCTGGGTACAGTTCCCTGCCCGGTGCTGCAAGCGAGGGGAGGAGTGTGAGGAAAAGTGGGACGCAATAGAGGCTGCTGAAGGAAACTGAGGAATGCAAGAGATTTCCAGGAGAAAGGTAAGTAACTATTGCCTTAGGCCATTACCGCAAGGAAAGCAAAGTAGTATCTGAAAGCGGAAGGTTGGAAGTGCCCCTGCTAAGATCTTCTCACTCGTGAGGCTGTTCCAGTAAGTGGCCAGATAAGGAAGAGCTATTTTTCCTTATTTCTGAGGCATGACTTAAGCACTTTCAGTCACCAAAGAACAAAAACCACAGATGTTTATTTGAGGGCAAAGGGAAGGAAAGAGGGTCTCGGCTGCACAGGAACCATGAGCCAAGCTGCAGGATGTTCTCAGCCTCTAGAGAGGTCAGCATGAGGGAAACTGCTGCAGGGGACAAATCAGTTACTGCTGCCTTCCTGAGGAGTGGGCTAGCAAGGAGGTGCTGTGCCTGGCAGCTTGTTTTCCAAGGGCTTTCCAAGGGCTTCAGCAAGTGGTTTTATCTTTGAGTGCAGAATTCCTGCATGCAGCCTGACCAAGTGGCCCTGTTTGCTTATGCCTTTTCTGGAAGCAGCAGAAAGTCTGTGTTTTGGGGGGAGAAGTATTTAAGCTCTACGTGGACTGAGCAGAGAGGCGGTTGGAAGACCGTTTACGGCCATCAAGGGTAGGTGGACAATTCTCCAGAGGTTTGGCCGAAGTGTTCCTGCTCCAGTCTATCTTAAAAAATCCAAGGATGCAAGTGCAAGGATGCTGGTGCAAGACAGTCTTGTGAAATGTGTGCAGTTTAGGGTTGGTTTTGTTTTTCTTTTGTTTTTTATTTTTTTTTCTCCCTCTTAGGCCTCAGCTCAGCTAGCTGAAGTCTAGGGGGAATGGGGAGGAAGTTTTGAATACAGCAGCAGCCTGGGAAAGGAAACCAGAAACTGAGCCAAGGTATCGAGGGAGGGGGGGAAAGAGGTCAGCTGACACCTGCGAGTGAGCAGTGCTTAGGGAGTTACTTTGCACGTGAGCTATTCATTGCTGCTCCCTTCATCCTCTTCCATTCCTACTGGGCACCAGGCCTGCTTCTAGCCCTCCCCTCCGCCTCTCCCAAGGAAGGAAAAGAAAGAACATAAAGTCTGGAGAGTTGAATGCACTTCCACATTGCTGCTGCTGTGAGAGCAGCACCCGTGGCTCCTCACCACGGTCCTGACCAGGGAGGAGAAAAGGGAAGCTGAGGAGAGATGGGAGCTAGGGGCAGGGGTTTCTCCTCCTGCTTCCAGCAGGATCCTGGCCATATCTCCTGCATTTTATAAATATGTTACTTTGCCTCCTACCGCATGTTCACATGTCTCCATTTTATGAATCTGCAAAACTGAGCTGCAGCATCTCTTACTCTGGCTCCTTCAGCCAAAATGTCATCTTCCAGCCTACTGTACCTGAAGGCCTCCTAGCCAAGCCTTGCGCCTCAACTTGCCTTGCTGGAAGTCACTTGCTGTGGTTCTTGCTGGCTGTTGTCAGGCCCTGCATGGTCCCTGGCGTGCAGCTGTGTCCCTGTTGTGTGACACCCCCGCTCGAGGTCTCTGCTGTGGGGCAGGGGGAGGGCAGAGAGATCCCACCGCCCCCAGTGTCACCGGGCTCAGGGCTGAGCCTGGCTGGGGCCACGGCTTGCTCGTGCAGGAGGGGAAAACGGAGGCTAAAAAAAGTGCATTTAAAACTCACCTGGGCATTAACACTCCCATGAAAAATGGTGCTTTTACTTCTTTCAGGAGATGACTTAATTCTTGGAAGAAACTCAGTAACAAATTTGCTTCCTCTGGGAACAGGAGGGGAAAAAAGTACTCTGGGGAAAAACTGGTGGTGAGAAAAGGAGCAGGAACAGCTTTGCTGTCACCTCGCTGTCTGGGGCCGGCGACTGGGGCGGTGGAGGTGTGTTTTAGTGGCGCTGGTGTGCGCGGCGGCTGCCGCCCGCGCTGCTGGTGGGAGCTCGGGCTTTTCGGCCCGCTGGCATCCCTTGGTGCGGCGGTTGCGAAGTCCAGGTATCGCTCGAGTTAACCAGAGATACGCTGAGGCCTGGCCGGGGCCGGCTGG